TGTGCTGGGGACCCCAGACCTGGATGCAGTACTCCAGAGGAGACCTCACGAGGACAAAGCAGGAGGGGACAGTCACCCCCCTTGCCCTACTGCCATCCTTCTGTTGATGCAGCCCAGCATATTGCTGGCTTTCTGGGCTGCAAGTGCACACTGCTGGCTTGTGTCAAGCTTTTATTCCACCAGAACCCCCAAGTCCTTCTGCACAGGGCTTCTCCCACTCCATTCGTCACGCAGTCTGTACTGCTGTTTGAGATTGCTTTGACCCAGAGACAGCATTTTGTGCTTGGCCCTGTGAGGTTCACACAGGCCCACATCTCAAGTCTTTCCAGCTCCCTTTGGATGGCATCCCTTCCTCCTATTGTGTCAGCTGCATCACTCGGCGTGGCATCATCCATGCTGAGGGTGCATTCAGTCTTACTGTTTATCACTGATAAAGATACTAAGCAGCACTGGTCACAAGACAGACTCGAGGGACACCATTTGTCACTGATCTCCACCTGTGGAAGTAGGTATGCTGCATGCTGGCCATGGGGCCAGACTACCCTTTCATCTGTGCTTCTGCTCAACTGCCTTGCTCTGGAAGGAGCTAGAACGTCAGATTCAAAGAGGAGCAGAAGTGCTTAGTGTGATGTCCTGCTATGCTGTTGTGTGTGGTAGCACCTTCCATAGGTGATGTCAGGTTGAGGTTGCAGTTAGGAGATAGATGCAAAACAAAGCTGCTTTGGATCACAGCAAACTTTTATCAGCAGTAAGTGTGCTGGCTGTTGCTCACCCAGACTTGCCTGTGTGGTTATCTTCAGCTGCATGAGTAAGGGTGAGCTGTCTGGTTACAGGTAGTTTTACGTTGCCTTCCACTAATTGCTGTAAGGTAAAGCGTTCAAAATATATATTATAAAGATGTAGGAGCTATAGTTGAAGCTTTAAAACCTCTCCTGCTATGTAGATTTTAAACACTTTTACCATGGTGTGTCAAGTGAATGACAGAAGGACCTTTATAGCAGCTGTTGTATGGAAAGGAAGGAGCAGAATGTGGGCAGAGAGCTGTGTCTGGCTTCTGGGGGAAGAATAGGGTGGTGTCTTCAGCAGATGGGGGGACACAGAAAGGATCTGCATTCTTCTGCTCATCTGGCAAATGAAGGAAGGGTTATGGAAGCCTTAATGCTGCACGCCTTTGTGAAACACGTCCTTGTTCTTTCCAGTAAATGGGATCTTTGGTGTCAGTACCACCCTCTTTCCAGGAGGACACTGGCTTTCTTTTGGGCTGAGGCTGCTGAAAGGTTTCACTTGCCAGTTTTGTTGTAATTGCTAAAGAAAACCATTTTGCTCCACGTAACTTAAAAAGAAGTTTCTCTGTGCAGAGCAAGTTTTGCGTACAGATGTGGTGTCAGCTTGTGTTCGAGATAGATGTGCCTGAGAACTGAAGACAATTGTGGAATGTGATGGCAAAATCCACCGCACTGCTGAGCCCACACGGCCAGTGGAAAATTGATAAATAGCTGGAAATGCTCTACATGTTCCCTGTTACGTTTATTAATATTAATATATGCTCGAGGAGCACCAGAAACACCAACTACAGGTACAGTTGAACATTTGTGCAGTTTTCATAAATAGTGGAAGCAGTGACATTAAACATATGCAGGAATCCCCATAGTTATAAATATTTACAAATATTTATTTTGGCAAAAGCCAAAATATTCAGATGTTCTGAGCTGTGCTCACTAATACAGTGTGTGTATTTGTCACTCGGCACGCTTCTCAAGTTGGGAGCTGAATTATTGGTCAGTGCAAGGGATTTCCCTTGCTGTATCACTTTGTATTTCACAGATATTTAGACTTCATTGCAGTTCAGAAAAGCACACCACTTCAACTACGTGCAATTAGCACGCAAGCCTTGCAGGGATGGCACTGATTTCATTTACCAGCAAGGGAGACCAAATGCAGTGTGTGGCTCGTGAGCCAGATCGAACACAGTAATTAATAATCTTTATCAGAGCCACCTCTCAGTGAGCATCTCTTTCCATAAGCCGTCCAGATACACATTGTTTTTTTCATTTACATTTCACTACAGATGTCAATGAAAGCACAGTTCCTCCTAAAGCATCATAATGTATGTAAACCATTGCGGGAAGCGTAGCATGCAGAGCCTTGGAGACTGCAGATGGAGAGAAAAGGCTCCTGATTTCATAAAAATAACAAAACCTGTTTTAACATATTGTGCATTAAATATTGTTCATTTGCATACTTTCTATGGCTAGGTTATAAAAGCCCACCATGTGGTGGACTTGTTGGAAGTCTGAAAAGATACTCTTTCTCCAAATGGAGATGTGTTAGTGGAAGCTGCTGCTTAATTATAAAACAAAAATAACTTGTTTTCTGCATTATTATTATTTTTTTTTTAACGTTTCATTTTTGTTTTTTTTTTTACTTCTGTAGGTTTTCAGGGTCGGAGTTTTAGTTGTTTCCTTAGAATACAATAGCATTATGGAGGAAAGCCTAGTGCAGTCCCTGTGAGTTGTGCTAGCTCGGGCTCGCTGTTGTACAACAGTCTGCCTGCCTGGAGCCAGCAGCAGCAGGGACTCCTCGATCCGGAGCTTCCAGCAGATAGCCCAGCAGATTGTACAGTAGCACTTGCATTATTTTTTTGCATCTTTATATAGAATTGTATAATTTTATGTACAGCACAGCCACGGTTGAAACACTCGATAGTACAAATGCACGATACCGCAAGTTAAAATGAGAAATGGCTGTCAAATCATAAATAGAAAATGTGGAAGAAAAGGAAAAAATCAGTCTTTTGGGTGTAGAAGTCTTGCATGCACATGCACATATGATGTCAGGGCTTGAGAAAGGATGCAGTGAACCACACGCTGGAGGGGAGCAGGTTCCCTGGCGCAATGGCTTTGGCTTGGCCTGGTCCCATAGAGTTTTGGGAGCCTGGAGCAGTGGGTGGCATCGGAGCACAGGCGCCCATTAAGCCCAGGCTCTGAGAATCGCAGCGATGGCCAGAGCGTATGCAGCATTCCAGGTTTTGAATGCTAACATTGCCAGCTTCAGATCAATCTGCTAATTTATAAGCTGCCAACATAAAGAGTGCAGGCGAGTGTGAGGTGACAGGGGTGCCTGCATCCCCGGGGAGATGAAGGGTAATTGGAGCAGCCTGGCGATTTGACTTCAGTGCCTGTCTTGCTGGGAAGGGTGCAAATGAAATTGGGAAGTGGCAGAGGAATAGCAGTGACCTTTCTTAGGATAAGATGGTAGGATCTTAGTGTCAGCTTTTTCTTACAAATAAAGCGATTTTCAGTGGAACTTGAGGTTTTTTAGGGGGAAGCACCATTTGCGAGCCCTATGGAGATCAGTTCACACCTTGCCAAGCTGAGAGCTGCCGAGACTTGTCATTTGTCACCTGCTTTTCTCAGCACAGCTCACTGCTGGCTGACTGTCAGGGCACAGGGTGTTCTCTGATCACTGACAGGTATCACAGACGGGCCCCAAAGCACCACAGCCTTGCACACCACCTCCAGTCCACTGCTGAAACAGCCCCACGAGGGATGCTTGGGGCTGGAGAGGATCACTCCATGTGTCCCAGCAGGTTGGTGTGTGCATACATCCATTAGGTGGCTGGATCTGGGGACATGAGTGCAGACTGCAGGTCTGGATGGGGACCCTGAGCAGCTGCCTTGGTGGCAGTGAAGCTCAGTATAGGCTTGGAGGGTTACCATGCAGTTTTAGGGAAGGAATCATTTGGCAACTTCCTGACTGCCCCTTGTCAGCTTGGATGTCAGGAACAATTTCTTCTTGGAAAGAGTGATGAGGCAGTGGCACAGCTGTTCAGGGAGGTGATGTACCTGGGGTGCTCAAGAGCCGTGGAGATGTGGCACTGAGGGACATGGTCAGTGGGCATGGTGGGCTGGTTTGGGGTTTGATATGAGAAGATCTGAGAAAGATCTGAGATCTTTTCCAACCAGAATGCTTTTATGATTCCCCGCCATATGCTATGATGTCCTTCCTTATCTTATACAAGAGGGCAAGCTGCCAAAAACTGCCTTTTCAAAATCAATTTTTTCTTAGTTAAAAATAAATAAACAAGTGCCTGATCCCAGTTACCCTTGTTGCTGACTGCTGCCTCTGTGAAGGCCTCGTGAAGAATCACTGTGGTAAATCAGCCTTTGGTGTTTCAGCTCCTGAACACTCCATTTGATGAAAGCTTTGCAAGTTTTGTCCTTAATTAAGCAGCCCATCTCTACTTCTTGCATGGGTGTTGGAAGGGCTGGGGTGTATCCTTCCTGAGAGGCTATTGGAAGATGCTTTTCTAAGGAAGGAATGCTCTATAATTAAGCTTAGAAATGGGTGGTGATCCTTTCCTCGAGGAAACGTTTATCTCGGGTCTGAGGTCTGCACAGCAGACAGGAGGTGACCAGCATGTGATGAAATTAAAAGGCTGCAGTAGTTGAGTTGGTCCATGGGAACTCTTCTCTGTTCACTGATAGAGAGGGACCTTTGGAGAAACCAGTGTGTAAAGTTGTGTAATTAAGGTTTATTCAGAAAAACATCTGTGCGGTGGAACTGGTTTTGCAGAGCCAGCGTTGATGGTAGCATTCTTTGGTTCAGGTACCTGGACATGAGCTCAGTCATATTCCTTCAGCAAGAGTGCATGTAAGATGTCATAATGGAGTTTTGCGATGGGGGGAAAACAAAAGCCCAAGTGAAATAGCAGGGGGAAAACAAAAAAACTGTCCAACTCAGCTGGGTCAGACAGTTGTCCAGCAACTGTGCAGTGGTTTGTGCTGTGTTAGGACAGGATCCACAGGTTTTGGCAGGGCAGTGTTAGAAAATGGGGCTGCACAAAGTGCCTGGAAGTGTTTCTTTCCGGAAAGAAAATGCAGCCAGTCCTCTTTCTATGGTCTAAACATGATTAGTGTCAACTGATGGGAAGTTCTGCTCTTGCACCAGGAGGTCTGACTGTGTTAATTTGCTGCTTTTCCCTCGTCCCTTCTCCGCAGCAGCAGCAGGAGATGCTGGCAATGAAGCATCAGCAGGAGCTCCTGGAGCACCAGAGGAAGCTGGAGCAGCACCGGCAGGAGCAGGAGCTGGAGAAGCAGCACCGGGAGCAGAAACTTCAACAGCTGAAAAACAAAGAGAAAGGAAAGGAGAGTAAGTAGCAGAAGCTCACTTGGTTCAGCGATGACAGGTAGAGCAGATGGATGGAAGCCATAAAGCAGCTTCATAAAGCTGAAGAAGCCTCCCTGATAGCCTTTCTACAGAGCTTCTCTGCACAGCAGCTTATGTAAATGTTTTGGAGGTATTGAGGGTAAAAGAGGAATTTATTTCTATGCTTTATCTTCATTTTTGTCTTTCTAAATGCCGTTTTAGCATTTTTCAAAAGGAAGCGTATCATCTCTTCATTTGATTTAACATTTTCTGAAGTATTTTTGGCAGCTTTCCTAATGGAGGCAGAATATTAAAACCATAAAATACACCAGATGCACACTGCTTTTCTTTTTCTTTTCTTAATTTCACCCTTTTAAGTTGTAGGCGAGTTCTCAGTTTTTAGCTTTAAAGTGTTTTCATTCAGAAGCACTTCTTTCATGAGGTACAGACTGTGGTTGGCTTCCCCACGTGTTATTATGCACTTCACAAGATTCAGTAACATGATTATGGCCTCGCAAATCCCCTTATCAAAGACACTTTGGTTACTTGTTCAGTTTTCTTTTAGATGTGAATGGGAGGAAAAATACCTTGCGGAGTTGCACTATCAACTCATTAGGTCTCCATTCCGTGTGAAATAAGGCAGCCTGTGATGGAAGCAGCAGACAGGGCTAAGGGCTACCAGCAGAAGAGATGCTGTCTGGGGACTAGGAATGAGATAAAGCTCTCAGAACAACTTTTCCAGCAGGAAGAAGCTGGGGTGTAGGAGGCTGCAAATACTTTCCTCATTGAATTCCTCATTCCCTCCGCGCACATCATGCTAGAACAGACTTTTGTTTAACCTGCGTTCAAGGGAGGGAACTTGCAGACCTGCCCCAATATCTCAGCAGAGCAGTTCATAGGAGGTCCAACGTCTGTGTTTGTGTTGGGTTTTGTTTGGGTTTTCTGTGTTTAAGCTGTAGGGGAGAAACCAAAGGATCAGAATTTCCCTGAAAGAAGCAGTTGAACTGGGCTGTTTTCCCAAATAAAAACAGCTTGAACTGAGTGAGATCTGTAAGTCCTTCCACTTCATCCTGCTATTGTCATCAACTGCTTATACTGTATCAGTGTTTCAATGGATCCCTCTGTGAAATTGACATCTGGCTATTCTCATTAAGATAGTTTGCAATAAACAAAAGCTCCTGAGTGCCTGAGCACCTGAATCTGAAGCATATGAAGCACCTTCTGGTCGAACCATAGGTGTAGAGGAAAGAGCAGAACTTCAGGAATCTGTGTCTACAGTTTTATTTTAAAAATACTTTTATTTGAGAAATACTACAGCATATGATCACTATAGAAGCTTACCTCTTAAGAGTACCTATCCTTCTCACATCAGAAAATTTTACAAAGTAATAGTTAACGTTGTCCAAATCTGAAATATGAAGTCTGTAATAGTTGAAGAACGTCGTTTATTCTCCATCCTTCCTCCATCACTGTAAGCCAAAAGACATTGTTTTGTACCTTTTAGAAGGCAAATCACAAATAGAGTTAGCTTAACGTAGTATTAATCCCTTGCTTTCTCATCTCAGGATCCTTGAGCCTTATGAACTGGAATCTGTTATCACAAAGCATATGATCAAAGCATGACTTCTAAGAGAAGAAGGAAAGTCTGTATGAGACTAAAGGTGCTTTTTGGGCAGGATAAGGAGTGATAGTTGGTTGTCCTGTCTTTCCACTGCTGTGACTGAACCTAGAACCAGCTGTGTGCATCAGTGTTTCCAGACAGACCAAATCTGTCTTCCTGTCTCCCTCCTCCTGGGCAGGGACCATCCCATGCCTTTCTGCTCAGGCAGTCTCAGGCTGGGGCTTTCTCCTACAAGCTGGCAGGCTGTGATCAACCTACACTATCACAAAGGGCTTTCTTTTGTTAGTTTCCATTGGTTCTGCTCCTCTCTTCTTGCACTGTGCAACCCCCTCCTTCTTGGCGGAGCTCGCTCCTGCTTCTGACCTTTATTCTCTTACCTCCACCCATGCTTTATCCTACATACAGTTATAGTTCGATTCTGGGACAACATTTAACCTGTCTTCTTTCATTCCATATTACCCTTCTGTGGTCTGTCTCTTCTGGCTTCCTGCCTGTGGATTTATTCCATGCATGTGGGCATCTGACTTCTGCTCTTGCCCTCATTGCCTGTTCCCTGCATGGTGACACACCACTGTCTATGTGCCACTTTGTGCTTTTCTGCCTTTTGCTTCCTCTTCTTGAATGTCTCCACTGGGTATTGCCAAGTAGTTCTGCCTTTATCCTATCACTACGTATGAGATACATTGAAAATGAATAAGATTTTTCTTCTCATCTTCCGACTCAAGGATCAGGAGCTGAACGATGATCTGCTCAACATGACATCTTTGTCCACAGCTCCAGCATTGCTCAGGGTAGAGAAGATCTCCACGTTTTTATCCTGTTAGCATATGTGGGGCCCTTCAGCTGCTAGTTTAGGAGGAAGATGTGCCAAAGAAGCTTTTGGAAACCTCACAATCCAACAGCATTTGGCTTCAGATTCCTCTAAATAATGTCAGATTTATCTAAAACCAATAGAACACAACCATGTTTGAGTATTTTTAAGATGCTAATAGATCAAAGATGACACTTTTTGGAGAGAGAGGGCCTTGATGTGTGAATTTGTCACCTATTCTGGTCTAGCCATGTTGCTCACAAACCCATAGGAATTTATCTCCAGCTCCTCAGTTGAACTTCCCACTGGGGTGCATGCCAAACCTACATTTTGTAGAACTAGTGAGAAATGCAGGGCTCCAAAAAAGTGAATTTTCAAGCTTTTCAACTCTGCTTCAGTGGTTGAGCAATATTACATTTTCAGGCAGTGCTTTTGCAGAATTACTGCAGTTTCCTTCTCTTGTGGAGATATTAAAAAACAAAACAAAATGAAATGAAATGAAATTGTTTCCCCGGTCTGTCAAATGGCACCGTGGTGTTGTGTAGGATCCAGGAGACAGAAGATCACCCTGTTGTATTTTAGGTATGCCAGCAGAGCAGACGATTTTCCTGGCCTTTTCATTTACTTGTAGCCCAGTTATTTTCCTTTTGGAATTCTTGGTTTACGCTGTGGTGTAGATGAACCATAATTTTCCACATGTTCTGCTTGCCAAACTTTCTATGCATTACTCCATCAGGAACTCTGCCTGTGAGTCTGTTCTGTCAACTGAATGATAATTTTAATCCATCACCACAGTAAAACAGAGTGGTCTCTATTGTGGAGGAAATAATGATCAGAAATTATACAGTTGACATTTTAACTCTACGCTACGAAATTACTGACTTTTTTTCTTTAAATGTTAGATTTTCTATTTGAAGAAACAGATTGCACACTTGTAAGTGAATTGGAATATTATGTGTGTCTTATTGTACACAGATACTTCTGAACAAAGAAGTCCTTATTTACAAGCTTTTTCAAGGCAGCATCTACATATGAGACATTCGTCTCGTTCCCCTTCTGCTTGCAGATGTGACATTTAAAATTTCGTTTGAGTGTACACAAGACCCTTTTTCTTAAATACCTTTGATTAAAGGAAAGCTGCAGTACCTCGTGCGGTGCTTTCTTCTAAGTTAACTTCTATGCAAGTGTTAAAATCCTCTTCAGAGATCTTTTGTAGTAAAATGATAAATCTCTGATTAGATCTCTGCTTTCAAACATCCGCTGCGATTATATGCAAAGCTGAAGGGGCAAAAAAAGAGCTCCTTACTGGAAGCACTTTGTTCTTCTCTTTGAAACAGAAGCTCCTCTATTGGACTGAAAAACCAAGCATTTAATTCTGAATCCTTTTAGAAATGTTCATTCTTAAAGTATGTTTTTTTGTGGTGTTTTTTTTTTTGCTACGGCTTTTGTCCAAAGTCAATTGATTAAATATCTTTAATTTTTGTTCTTGACTTCTCAGGTGCAGTGGCAAGCACAGAAGTAAAGATGAAATTACAAGAATTTGTTTTAAATAAGAAGAAAGCTTTGGCACACCGGAATCTCAACCACTGCATTTCCAGTGACCCTCGCTTCTGGTATGGGTAAGTGGTGCTGGGCTTATCTGTGTGATGCAGCCTGTGCCACCTTTTCTCACAATTGCTGCAGCTGGGGAATAGTCCTGATGTATGCAAAAAAAATAGTGCTGGTGGTGGCAATGATGATGAGGAGACGGTTGGACCTTATAGGTTGGATCTTATAGGTTGTTTCCAACCTTGTGATTCTATGATTCCATGATTCTATTTACTGATCAGCCGTAGCACTGATAGAACTAGAGTTTGAATTTGATGAATGACATGAGTGAAAAGCATTTTTGAAGGGTTTCAAAGTGAATATTTTTCCTATCTTCAGTGCTATCGCTGTATTTTTGTGAGTAGTGGTCTTTGCTGACGTCTTGGATCCGTGATTATTTAAACTAAGAGGTTCTGCTGTCACGATCTGCCTTTATAAGTTCTTTGGTTTTTCACCAGGATTTGCTCCAGATAAGGATAATAAAACATGAACTTTCAGGAAATTAGGCTTTATGCTTAGTGAACTGCAACTCAGGATAGTTGAGCTAGCATTGCTTTTATTGCCTGCTGCTCATCTCAGTCTCTCGAAGCTGGAAGTTTTGTTTCCCTGTAAACTGCTGAAAACACGAAGTGCACCCTTTGTAATTCTGCTGATGTCTACATTTTCTACTGAAAATGCTCTGCTGTGGATATCCTAGAAAATCCAAATGTCATGTGAAGTGAGAAGATAGCAGGTGTTCTTAGAATGTCGTAGAAGCAAAGAGTGATTTCTTCAATTAGTTCTAATGCACCAAAGAGCCATGGGTGGCGTTAGAAATGAGGTATAAGTTCCAGTTCTAGAAATCCACTTCTTTGTAAAGAAAACTTGGAAATTTGATGTAATTTGAAAAAAAAAAAAAAAAAAAATTCTATTAAAAAAAAATTAAAAAAAAATTTTTTTTAAAAAAAAAAAAAAAAAAAAGTAATGTGTTTGGAATGTTGCTTTATTGACCATAACATTGATGAAATTTTGAATGAGAAAATCCAAGAAAATTTTGCTGTGAAAATTGTTTTCAAGTTGAGAATCTGGTATTATTTTCAGTCTTCAGCAATAAGCATTTATGTAGGGTTGATGAGGTCATTGTCAGCTGATGGTTCCAAATGCAAGAAACTAAGCTGAAATTAAATTGGAAAGATATCCCAGCTATGAGCCAGAACAGAAATGCTGAAGTGTAGTTGGCAGAAGATTCTAATGTTATTCTGCCAGGGGGAGATTGAGCAACTCTTAATACGTCTGTGAAAATCTCATCTGAGATTTGAAAATTGTATGGCTGTGACGTTGGTTAAAGTGGTGAAATGTGGGTAGGGTGTGCAGAGCTAATGTTTAAGGCCTGCTAAGGTGGTGTGAAAGATAGTAGAAGAAATAGGAAAAAATGAATCTAAATCATGGCAACGTAAATATGTCTTTTTAAATAACTGATTTTCCACTATTCTTCATTGAGACTCACAAAGAAATTAGGGGATTTTGGAAGCATTTGAAGGCTCTCTGAGGCATTGTGTTCTTTTTATTTATTTATTTGTTTAAAATGCCTAACTTTAATGCAGAAATAATATTATATTAGAATTAAGGCTAGTAAATAAATGCCTTCTTCCAAAATCTTTGCTCTTTGGCTTTGGAGAAACCTCACCTAGAACTGTCATCATAGATGAATTTAATCTGTTAGAAAAGGAGGCTGTGGATGCCCCATCCCTGCAGGCATTCAAGGCCAGGCTGGATGTGGCTCTGGGCAGCCTGGGCTGCTGGTTGGCGACCTGCACACAGCAGGGGTTGGAACCAAGATGATCGTTGTGGTTCTTTGCAACCCAGGCCATTCTATGATCTGCAATCTGTGACTAAAAGGGAAAAAAGAAGTTTGGGAGTGGTCTGCATGCCTTATGTTTTACAGTTTAGAATTAACTGCTTTTTCACCGAGATGCCAGCACTCGGCTGAGTCCAGGTCAGTGACATGGGGTATGCTGCAGGGCCAGCTTTAGTGCAGTAACTTACTGAGCCCAGCTGTGCTTTGGGTTTCAGTCTTCCTTCCTCACTTCAAGCAAATGCTGAGACCCTTCTGAACAAGGATACATTCTTTAAGGTTCATTATCTTTAGGATTTTTTGTTATTAATGTGGTGCGTTTTCATCTGAACATCCCTTTCTTGTGGTGCCTCGGGGATGCAACAGGTAGAGCCAGCATACTGACTGTTCCACAACAGTCTAAGCCCCTTTCTTACAGGCTTACCATTCCCTCATCTCCCCTCCATCTGTTTAGTAGCAGGGTTTGGTTTCCAACACAAGACATGGGGAAGGAAGAAGGAGCCTCAGAGGCCTCACAAATCTTTCCAAGGGCATGCTTCATTGATGAGTTGCAGGCAGATGGGAGCTCGTTTTGCCCAGCCTTTGAGGAGGGCAGCAAGGCTCTGCAACTGCAGATGAGAGTTCTAAATGCAGCCCTTCGGTTGTTAAGGCACGAGCTGAAGATTTTTGTTTGTTTGTTTGTTTCCCTTCTATTTAAATTTAGAAGAAAACAAAACACACAAAAAAGAGAAAGAAAACCTTTAAATTAATTGTGTATTACTATTTATTTGTATATCATCTCATAGGTAACCAATTCAGTTACAGGGATATTTACGCACATACTTGTAACGTGATTTAATTGGGTGGTGGTTGGATTTGACACACGTAAACAAGGCTTGCAGAAGATAGATTTGATGCTCCTACTGTGAGCAGGCAAACCAATTAAATGGTAACAGATGCTGAAATAGTCTCTTAAATGACACGCCTGCTTTTAAGCACTTCCTCTGGTATTATTAAGGTTTGCAGTTTCCTTTAAAAAATTTAAAAGCGTTACTTGTAAACAGCAGTTCTCTTAAGGGTCTTGAACACCGCAACAGTTCTGCGTCAGTGGCTTTGACATGAAATATGTGTTCTTTGCATGTGAAATAGCTGTTACTGCCCACTAAGATGTGTGGATAATTTACCTTCTCTATCTTGTATGGGCTTGAGCTTCACTCGGCACTGTCTTTTGTCTATAATTGGTGAATATTTTCTAATTAATCACCAATATTAAAGGACGTTGTAGGCAGATGTGCAGGTCAAACCTTGCGATGGAAAGCAGCTAGCTGCAGAGGTCTTGCCAAATGTACTCATGATCCAAAAGATCTACTAAAGGAAAGAACTAGGTAATCATAGAACTATAGAATCATTCAGGTTGGAAAAGACCTCTCAGATCCCCACGTCCAACCCCAGCCCACCCCGCCATGCCCACTGCCCACATCCCTCAGTGCCACCTCTCCACAGTTCTGGAGCACCTTCAGGGATGGTGACCCCAGCACTCCATGGGCAGCTGTGCCACTGCAGCACTGCTCTGAGAATAAATTGTTTCCAGTAACAAACCTGAACCTCCCCTGGTGCAGCATGAGACCATCACCTCTCATCCTATCGCTGTTAACTGGGAGAAGAGGCCAACCCCCAGCTCACCACAACCTCCCTTCAGGCAGCTGTAGAGCAATGAGGACCCCTTGAGCCTCCTCCACACTGAACAACCCCAGCTCCTTCAGCTGCTTCCTATTATCTCTCAGAGGCTTTCACAGAGATCCTGCTCAGTATTTGACTCCATGGTATTCAAGCCATTTTGTATACTCTCTAATATATGCAGCTCCAGTCTAAATGCAATTGTTTGGGATTCTGTGGTGAGCTATAATTTTCAGATTATGTTAATGGCAGGCAACAAAAGAAGAGGTTCTTTTGAATTCCATTGTCAGACTGTCCCTCCTGTGGATTCTGAATCTGCTGGGCAGCCCTCCTCGCAGGAGGTCCTGCTCTTGAAGACACTTAACATAAATAAAAGTGACTTACCAGGAGCAAAGATGGAGCATCTCGGGCTCAGCAAACAGGGCTGTTATTTCCCTTGGAAGTTTTCAGAAGTGCTCTTGGGAAGTAGCCACTCGACACAGTAACCATCGTGAAAGGGAGTTGAACCGAGTATTTGCATGCTAAGGAGATAGAGAGAAATAATTACACGTTAAATTATGCCAACGTACATAAATGTTGTTGTTCTCTGTGCGCAAAGGATTCCAACAGAGACACGCGTTCGAATGCATATTCAGTTTACATTGCATGAATATGTTGGAAGTGTCAGACATGCTTTGCTGTGTGCACGGGCTTTGGATGGACCTTGCAGCCCAAAGCACAGAGAATGTGTTATGTGAAGGTATGTACTTCCAGGAATGCCTGCAAACTCGATTTAGTATACAATTTCACCTCTTTCAGGACCTCTGAAATTCCTGAACAGGCATGCAGACCAGTGCATTTTGCTCTGAGCACTGTAGGGTGTTGGATCCTAGTCCTCAAGCAATGCAGTGCATTCATGTTTGCAGAGTGAAACGTCTGTCATTCAGCAGCTCCAGAGCACATCTAAACAGGCCCTTTGAGTTCCTGCGCATTCCCTAACAAAGTGATGAAAATAGCTTCAATGTACATGATTGTTCAGCTTAAGTCATGATTTAAAAAAAAAAAAAAAAGAAAAAGGAAAGAAAAAAATCCTACTGCTTGTATAGGCAAGAGAAAAATGCGATTGTGTGCCATGGTGGGTTGGAGGGGCTCTTGGCTTGCGTAGCCTGGGCTTCCTGTTTGTGAAACATCTCTCTGTGCAGCCTTCCTACGGTATGAGCAGAGAAAGCCACGTCTGTTTTCAGGAGGGATTCAAATATTTTTCAACGTGGTTCTGTTTTTATTTCAGGTGATGATTAAACAGTGCTGCATATGGGCATTTAGTGCTGCCAGTGTGACAAAGGACATGTGTAGATGTGTGCGAACGCTCATGTGAAATGCAGCAGTGTGAGAACACACAATTATTCAGCCTGTGTGTAGGGAAGTTCGGGATATAAAGGGGGGAGGATTAGGAGAGCACAGTGAATCACGCTGCTTGGTGGGAACTGCTGGTATGAGACTCTATATACACACTGAACAAACTTTTCAGAAGTGTTTGTGACAGTCACTTAGAAAGCACGGTGTGTTTTTCTGCTGTTTTCTTGAAGGGTGTAACTAGAATCGCTATGCCGCATCTCACCCAACAGCCTCCTTCTGAGTCGAGCTTCAGAACGTGCTGCTCAAGGAATCTGATGGACTGGAGAGTCATTTTCAAATTGGGAATGGCTCAATTTCGTTCCTTAAAGAGCCTTTTAGAGCAGAATATTTTAGTCAAAATCTCAGTGAATGCCTGATTGTTAAACAGGGTAGAATTTCAGCTCTTTGCGTCTCTCAGCTAAGTACTTGTCCTGTATTGTTCAATTATTTGAAGAAATAAAACAGGGTTTAGGTTGTTTTTACTTGAATTAAAACCTGAGATTGCTTGACAGCTGTATGGTTGCCACTTGTATTGCTCAATCAGTGATGTGGCTGCTCTGCTAACGTGGTAACGTGGAGGTTTCCAGAAGTCTTTACCGACTGGGGTTCATGGCAAAGCTGGACACAAGGCATTAAGTAGGGAAGGTGCAGCCAACACACAGAGGTAGGAGGTTTAGAAAACTCTCTTATTATTTAATATCCTTAGCAAATAGCATGTGCTTTCCTTCCAGCAGCCTGCTCAAACAGAGCTATAAATCACCAGCCTCCAGAAGTTACCTTGGAGGGTGCTGAGTGCTTTGGCCCGATGCATGCTAAGTGCTGGGGTCAGGGCGCAGTGCAGCAGCAAAGCTGCTGTTGGCCTGCCTAAACATGTGGCCCTTCACGTGCTCATCCTCTGTTTGATTTCATCCTTAGGCTTTCTCTCAGGGTTTTATGCAGTGAAGGGGAATTGTTCATTCATGCTGTAGTTGAGGGAAGCAGCGAGACCTGTGCTTAGCTTTACAGATAGAACTTATCGAAACCTGGCTCAAGTATGTGCTTAAAACTGTGGTTAAATACCCAAATATGTGGTGCCTTCCTCAGTGGGGTCATTCCAGTACTGAAAATTAAGCATATGTTTAGTCTCCTCTCTGTATATTAGCTTTCAGATGATCTTTTAATCACTTTCTAGTACCTAGAATGAGAAAGCTGGTCCCAAGAGATTTTCCTTTTCATTGCTCACAGTGGAGCAGAGAAAGTGAAACTGAACTCTCTCCCTTTATGCCTCACTTGTGTTACATTTCTCCCTTCTCTTTCTCTCCCTGACCATGCAGGAAGACACAGCACAGCTCCCTGGACCAGAGCTCCCCACCTCAAAGTGGCGTATCCGGCACCTACAATCACCCTGTCTTGGGGATGTACGATTCCAAAGATGACTTCCCACTCAGAAAAACAGGTAATGCTCCCATTGATTTTCTGTGTTACCTGCTGTCTTTGCTGTGACACTTGGTCCTTACATTTCCAAAAGAAAAAGAAAAAAAAAAAGTGTACGTTGCCAAAAAGCTGTATTTCATGGAGCAATTTATTTAAGAAGCGCTCACACCGCCCCACTCTCCTCTCCCCCTTCCAGCTGTCACTGAGCAAGCAGTGTTAGAGGGAGGCTTTGGTTGTGCAGGCTTGCAGAGCTACATGCAGAAGACAGCTTCGTTGTGTGTCAAAGCTTGTGAGATGTTTTCACAAAGTCAAAACTAATACAGAGATCTGCGTGTCTGAAGTCAAAGTATGTTTTGCTGAGTGAGAAAAGTACCAAGAAAAGTTCATTTCTTCTGGGATTTGCATTTTATATACAAGTTTATACTTTAAATAAATAAAAACGTTTCTGCCAGTCAAAGTGTAGGGACTTCCTGCAAAGGTTTTGGTTCACACCTAGACAGTTATTTCTCAGTTAGGTTTCTCTCTGCATGGTGGCTAAGCAAGTCAGTTATTTCTGAGCTATATATTATGTAAACCAGTTTGTTTTGTTTGGCTGTGGTCCTCAGCTCCATATCACATGCCTTGGCCAACACTGCCTCAGCTTCTAACCTTGCAGGCTTGTGATCCTCAGCAGCCAGCTCCCTTCGGGGAAGAGCCGAGCTGCAACAAGCTCACCCCAATGTGGGGAGCTCTGCTGCTTGCATGGATGATGCACACTGTGGTGCATGTTGAAAATTGCTTCAGAATAGGAAAATAATCCTGTCTTGACTGAGCTTTGTGTGTCCCACAGGTGCTTCTAGCTATTTCTCAGGTTTGTTTTGTGGACCTTTAAATGTACAGGGATGAGCACTGGTGTTAGTGATTGTTGTGGTCAGGAATGGTAGTGGTATGTTAACCAGACCTTTCTATGGATTTACAGCCTTTGGTCAAATTGGCTGTCCTAAATCAGTTCCCAGGAGCTGGCTGCACCTCCGTTTCCTTCCAGGAGAGGCGTAGGTATTCTCACAACATTTCTTCCCCTAATAGCTGAAAGTCAATTGGGTCTTATGTGTCCTCACCATGATTCTCATTATCTCTGTAAATTGATGTGAAGGTGGAATATTTTATTTGTGGGGTTTTTTTTTCTTCTGTCATCCGTCTAGAAAAACATAACACTTGTGCACTGCTACCCTGTGCCTCCTGCCTCCCAGGTCTGTGCCTTTGAAGGCCTTTTATGAACTGCTTCCACACCATAGTACCTGTACTGCTGGATGGATCTGTAGATGGTTCTCCCAGTCAGTAGGCATGCTGGGCTGGGCAGCAGGTACCAGAGACATCAGCTCCACGAGAATCAACTTAGGATGGGAGAGTCCTTCCCAGGGTGAGGGCTCTTCCTGTACACACCCTGTGCCTTCAGGGTAAGTGACTGACAAGAAAGCAGGCCCTTTCTGCAGGACTCCAAGGGCAGAGAGGGAAAAGAATTTGCTGAAGTGTAGAGCATCCTCTAATATCCATTTCTAGATAATGACAAGCCAAACACTGTGTTAGGTGCAGCATCTGCTGCTGCCTAGTCAGTGTTGGAGACAGCCAAAGTGGCGCTGTCTGGGCCTCAGGACTTGTCCTTGCATGGAGGAGATGAGTGCTGCTAGAGGGCTGCCCTTAAAGGAGATTTCCTTCAGTTCTGGAGCTGTCAGCACACAAAGATGTGCTTTGCATACGCATCTGTCAGGAAGAAGGAAGACTGGTCCTGGGCTGCTAGAATCCACTGATGCCGTCTGCTTCTTCTCTGCTGAAGGCTGTTGGTCTCCTCTGGAAATTCACAGCATGTCCTCACAAGGAAATGTCCCTTGGCATCATATGCTTGTGGACAGCACGAATCCGAAGACCTTTCTGTTCTTTTGAAACCAGAACCTCCACTTTGGGGGAGCGCACGTTAGCAACCCCATGGCAGAAATGGTGTTTTATCAAAAGCCTCCCTCTCTTTAGGGCCATTTCTTGCCAGTTTTAATTTGAGAATAGATCATCCTTCTCACTGCAAACGCTCTAACAGTGGATTTCTGCAGGAGTGTCTGAACATACTCCTGTTGTTTCCTAGACTGAGTTCTGATTAAGCCTCTTGCTGATAAAACTGCTGTCGGACAGAGTGAATTAAAGAAGATAAACGTATCTAATGGCATTATTAAAAATCATTGTTGTTTTAAAATAGGAGGATAGTTAGCTGATTTTGTTTTTCCAGAACACTGATGCTTATTCTTTGTGGGCACTGGCATTAATCTTCTGGGGATTTGTATGCAGCGCATGCAAGTTCCCTTGCAAGGTTCAGAGGAGACCTTTTTTGTTGTTTTCTTTTATTTTCTTTTCAATGTAACAGCAGTTCAGACTCTAACACAGTGATATCCTGCAGAAACTCCATTGCCAAGAATGTTAAGTTGCTTGGACTCCTGAACAGCCTGGTGTAAACAAAAGGCAGGGAAGGCTGGAGCCCATCCTAAATAAAGTTCTTTATTACAAGTGAGCTTTTCAGATTTTTGGCACCAGTCAAAACTCTGGCTTTGTATTTGTAATTTAAAACCGCCGTATCACGTAGTCCAATTTTATTAAATTAGATTAAATATTTGCAGTTCAAATAACAGAGTCCATCGCAGCACGGTTGTGATCCGCGGGGCTGGCATCAATCCAGTGTCATTGTTAGGGACGGGGGGACTCGGGACGCTGCAGGAAGGCACTTGGAGCAGTGATTTCTGCTAGGGTACATTTCTGGAGTTGGCAGCACGTTCTGCATGTTGAGAAATTGTTCAGAAAGAATGAACCTGTAATTGCAGTGGGTTTAAAAGTGCTACCCTTCTTCGCTCTGATTACTTAAAGCACTGCGACGTGGAGTGGTGTATAGCAGCCCTCTGTGCACCCCTGAGGATCGCCTGGTAGTGGAACACTCAAGTGTGAATGTTGCATAAGAGACGTGATCGGCTGGCCACGCTCTCTTGAGTAAAAGTACATGTGTGCGTGAGCAGCGTCCTGAGAGTGCTTGGAAACAGTCAGCATGTGAAACAGCGAACACTTGCAGCGTGCTCTTAATGCATCCTGCCACCTGAAATCCCCCCTCCGGTTTGTTTTATCAAATTATGTCCCGGTTTGTTGGCTGTTCAGGTTCTGCTTGAGGTTGTTGCGCTGCCAGGCTCTGGCTGGTGCAGTTACCAATGGCCTGAACTTGCACTTAGCCTGGCTGCAGGGTGTGTTTCACTGAGTTCTCTCTAGCTGAACCCTTTGTGGCCTTCCCTTCCTTAACCGAACCAAGAATAGTTCAGCTGATGCCATTCATGCTTTTCTCCTTTTGCTTTAAATAACTTCAGACAAGGATTTCTTATTTCCCCACTTGTGTAGTTTCCTTAACTACGTATATGCATGCTTCCTTTGCTATATGCATGATCTTGACATGCTGTTAATTAGAAAGCTGGAATGACCTACATCACAGGGATTCGTGAAAGACTGAAGAGCATTGTTTAACTTGTTAACATGCTTTTTCTTTTGCTTGTGTGGGGTTTTTTCTTTGCTTGTTTTTTAATGTGCCATGCAGGGCTTAGCCACCAGACACTAGCTTTCCTTCTGGCTTCTGCAAAGGGCCGAGGATTCCTCACATTACTTGGGACTTGACAGCTAATCAGGATTTCTAATGGAAGCCACAGCATTTCAATTAGCTGTCACTGAAATCAGTGGTTTTGCCAAGCACAGCACCTGCTAGACTCGCCTGGCCAACATGCGTTCAGCTCTCTGGGATGCATGAACTGGAAACATCTCCCTGTCTGTGCATCTATATTTAAGCCTGACACCCAAGTGGGGAAAAAAGCCATTTCTTCAGTGAGCTTATAAAAGATGTTCTGAGAAACTGTAAGCATGAATGTGCCTGCATCCGCAGGAATCATCCAGGCAGGCTGTGAGGTGAGGCAGGCCCAGGTCTCGCTGTGGTTTTGCTTCTGCTGTTGGATAAGGAGCAAGGGACAGCTGCTTGGTGTGCTTGGCTCAGACCCTGCACCCACTGTCCCCGTTCTGTGGAGAATCCAAGGCTCTGGCTCCTGCTTTTTGCTTTGCCTCCAGCCTGTCTGCTGGCTGCTTTGGCACGGTGATGATCAGGATGAGCATGGAGATCTTAGAGAGGCAAGGGATTCCTGTGGTCCCACGTGTGTTTGCGCTGCAGAACCATGGAGTAGCATCTCAGGGTGTGAATTTCCACTATTTCCAAAGCCAGTCTGAATGTAATGCCAGACTGGGAGCTTACAAAGACATCTTTGGCAAGTATCTGTCTCTCAGTTTCCTGGCTAGGTAGTAAATGAGCATGTGCATGTGTGTGGTGTGTACTTGGGGAGAAACGACAACTGGGAAGTGTCACAGGCCCCTTTTTCAGCTCCTGTTCGCTGGGGACCAGGCAAAAACAGGGATCCGGCACAACAGCTCGATTCCCAGCAATGCCTCTTGACAGACGAAGGAGAGCTGGTTATAGGTCAAGTACTGTGTCTTGGGGCTTGTGGTAAAAGCAAGCTGTCCTTAACCTTCACAGCCCACTTTTTCCAAGGAGAAGTTTGTGGCTCAGCATTGTCAGGGCCTGGCTTGTGTATCTCTTCACTGCAGTGACTTCCTTCCAGGGACAAAGCAAGGCAGCAAACTGGGAGCTGCTCCTTGGACTTCCCCGTGGGTAGCACAGGTGGAAGGCCACAACGGCTGCTTGTTTTCTTGTACTTCAGCAGCTTCTGGGAAATGCCACAGAGGGAATCTGAGAAACGCATCACCCGTGCTGATCCCAGCAACCACTTCAGCTTTCAGCCCTAAAAGGGAGCTAGGTGTTGTGGTGCTGGATCAAGATGGATGCTAATGAGGAGTATAAAGGAGAAAGGCATCCATCATCCCACCCTGGGCAGCCCAGTTCAGTGGGTGGCAGTTCAGCTGTTGAACTGGATGGACTTAAAGTCCTTCCAACCCCAACATTGTGTGGTTCTGTGATGCTGTTGGTTT